TCAATAATTTAGAGGGAAAAAAGTCCATGCTAAAATGATAAAGTTAAAGATCTTGACAGAAATTTACTTGTAAGACTTAGTGTCCTTCCAAAAAATACAGATTTCCTCTTACATCTAGTATATATGCCAAACAAAATCATTGGAAAATGACTCAAATCGAAGGTAACCCACATCACAGATTCCTTAGTAGCTAAATGTCTGTAAGAAGTTATCGAGTTTTGATGATTTGTGGAAAGTTTTATTAATGTTTTCTTGAAGATTTTATGACTTGGAAAATATAACTTTCAAGAAAACTTCTTGCTGTTTCCATTTCCACTCAAGTTGGTAAATCAAATATACTAGAGAAATATGTTTTGCCTTTAAAAATCCTTTGCATATGTAACTAATTATTTGATATTTTAAAACTGCATACATTTTATTTTAGAAAAATTTCGAAGTGTCTGTAACAGTTTTAACATTCAGGGAACTAAAGAAAATTATTGTGAAATACTTTTTTAAATCATTAGAGCAACAAAGACCACACAAAAATGTGAATAGTTGAATGTGGATAGTATATTAATTAGATTTAAAAAGTTACTAACCTCCTTTCTTTAAAAATTAATTTGTTAAGAGTTAAGGTAAAAGGACTAAATTGCATACATAAGCAAGGAGCTAATCACAGTTAAATACAAGTAACCAAAACCTTTAAAATGTCTAAATATACTAGTAAACAAAGGAAAACAGTAAGTTATGACTGTGCATGATTTTGTTTTAAATTTCATATTAGTTTTAAGTGGTTTTCATCATAGTTCTCAATTTCTAACATTTCATGGAAAAAATAACTTTATATAGAGTACAACCATGACCTAACACGTGGCAGTAGTGTTTTACTATAAGTAGTTTCCTTTTTATAGTTCTAGTCACTTCTGAGTTATAAATATAACCAAGTGTTTTAAACATAGGCAGGGAAATGATATCAACCAGAGCATCAATAGTAAAAAGGTGCATGAAATTGAAAATGGTGATAGTTACAGTGAAGCGGTTTTGAATTTATACATTCATTTTACAGGCATTTATGATAAGAACTAGAATGACTTGGTGTGATGTAAATGAGGAGAATGGGGTATCAAAGGGAGTATTTCCCTTTTGCACTTGAATTTATTATTATCAATATTATTCCTTAGGAATATATTGATTCAAAATGAATTAATTTTCATGATAGATTTTGAGAGGCTACAAAAAGTTTCTTTTTGGCACAATCAAAATATTATCCTAGCAATTCAGATTGTCAGTAAAAGCTTAAACAAATTCACTGATAATCCTGTTAATGACCTAGGTCAAGTGTTAACTGTTGTGGGTTCTAAAATAGTGAAATTAAAGTTTCTCCTACCTCCAGGCAAATAGCACAGTTATAACTGTTGGGGAGTGATGGAGGGGCAAGCTATTAGGAAAACTATTAAGTTACAAAAATGTATAATGCATTCAATTATTTAGTCTAGCATGAAGAAATGCTATTAAAAGCAAATGCAAGACTCTTTAAAACCCCCTATAAAGATGATACGATAGCTTACTTCTCTATTAACGTTTCAATCACAGTGTGTTCTTATTTGAAGATAAGTGTTTATATATATGAAAAGTGATGCCAGTTCATAGTGATTTTTTAAGGAGGAAATCCATTATTTAAATATTTATGATCTCTAACATTTGCCTCCTACTCAAAGAGAAGCATACAGCATTCATTTGAAAGTTTTACGCTTAAACTTTGAAAAGAAAACCCCTATTACAGTCTTTAGTACTTAGAAGATTTATGTTTAAGGAAATGTGTTTTATAGAAGTAGTGTCTCAGCCCTCCAAACAAAGAAATTATTCTAAATGTATGCAATATAGCAATATAAAGATCTAAATTTTCCTGATTTTAAAAATTCATATTTTCAGTGTTAAGAGCTTTATGGATAAATGTTGATCTAATTTATGTATTATAGGATGGAAAAAGACTATTCTGTGTGGAATGTAATGATGAATAAGCAGTGCATTCAAATGTTCTAATATAGTTAAAGAGAGCATTTTCTCCAATTCTAAAAAAGGAGGAAGGAATTACAACTGATAACTTCGCTTTGCATCCAGTTTAATCTTCTTCCCAAGTTATTTTTCTCTATCATTGTCATAAACCATCTAGTATTGGAACATGGACCAAACATATGAACTTTTCTAATACATCAAAGTAAAGCACTCAAAATTTTCTATGGAAAATAGTTGATTTCCCATTGGAAGTCTTATGTCATGTGAATAGAGAGATGTGACAGAATTTTAATAAAGCCTTTATAAAATCCTATTCAAATATATTAGTTTGTTTAATTTAAGTGACCTTTGAAATCATGAATAACTATCTTCACTGTGAAGGCCAGTAATAAAAAGTATTATCTCGATATTATATACTTTATCATATACTTCTCCAGAAAGTAATTGAATTACCATATGGAAAACTAATGTTAATTATTGTTAACAATGGTTCTTGGCACTTTAATATTGACTTGCAATGATGAAATCTCAAATAAAAATATCAATAAGGAAAGTTTCTTGGCAATTTGCTTAATGCCCTGGTTTTGTTCTTTTATTTCTGTTATACCTAACTTCATAATAGATTGCAGAACATGGTCTGGTAAATATGTTCCAGTATATCTCTAACACATTTTAGAGTGCAGAAATATAATTTTGAGTCAATATTTTAAATACAACCTAGTATTTTATATTTCAGTGTTTGAAAAATGTATCGAGTACCTACATTAATATGTTTCACTTTGAAATACTTGAATTCAAATATATGAATTTAAATTACTTTGTTAGAGGAATTGCATGGAAATCTTGGTACACACTTGGTATTTTTACTTTTCAAGATTCAACTCAACTAGTAAAAGCTAAGCTAGTGGATTAAGTTTAAAGTCTCATTCAAGCATTACTTAAGTTAAATCATTTATTTCAATTTTATTTTAAGTCTTTCTTTCATAACCTCAGGAAGAAAATGGTATATTACCTTTTATGTAAGATTGAGTCAAGAAACAATAATCTCATAAACAATAGATAGATGAAGTTTTATCCAAGCAACTTAAACACAGTTGTATCAGTTTCATTTCCTTGTCTATATGCATATTGTTAATGTATACCTTTCTGGACAATCATGTACATTACATACCCAAATATAAAATATGTTGCTTAAGAGAAATTACAACATGATTATTCCTGTTTCATGAATATTCACAAATTTTCATAGGAGTAAGAAAAAATACAGGTCATTTTTATTTTTAATATATAGGTTACATTTTCCACAAAATACAAAGTCATATAAATTTCTGTTCAGTAATTCCGTGATATATATTATTGAAGTAGTTGTTAAATTATGCATATATATATATATTACTTGAAAAAAACACAATTTATCAATGCAGTGCAATTACAAGTCTTTTCTAGTTTAGCCAGAATTTTAATATTTTCAAAGAAAAAATATTTTAAAACACTGCTTAACATCAATGCTGTTATAGTAGTAACTCATTTTAGCTTTCATTAATGAGGAAGACTAATTGACCATTACTTTCAAAATAAGTTGAATCAAAATAAGTCATTTTTGAGCAATATGATTTTTGTATTCTTACATTAAAATAACTAATTTCCTCATTAAAATGTCAGAAACACGTAATGAAATCTGCCAAACAGATAAAGGCAATCACCAAGGAAAGAAAGAAATTAAACTGCTCTTTTAGCGGTGAAAGTAGGTCACCAAATACAAGGCAGTTTATATGTTTAATAAACATTTTATTTCCATGTCTGTTTTAAAAATAATGTAAACAGACCCCAACACCACTGGATCTACCATAAATATTTTAGAAAGTGATGTATACCTAAGGTGGAGTTTACATATCAGCTGTGCAGTGTCACTAATGTGCAAAATAAATTGTTAAATGGCATTGCTATAGGTTTAATCATTAAAAGGAAATTAAAGTTGTGTTGCTTTAAAGCAATCAATGCTTCAAAGAAGTTTGTCTTAAGAGTTAGTGACTTTTTCACAAATCATTAAGAATAGATTGCAAAGGCTGTAGGAAAAAGCCAACAAATCTGTTAAGAACACTACCTTATAAGAAAAAAAAATGTCCTTAATATTAGGTTTGTACTTTAGTGCCTTGTGAAACATGGGAGCCCATTACAAGGAAAACAGTACAACACTGAAGAAATACTATTTGCTGCATATGAACATTCTTAATTTGCTGTTCAATTATTTACTGTATCTCCCAGGAGCTAGTCATTCACACTGAATACATTCTTCTACTTGTACACAAACCCTTAGAACCTCACCCAACCCCAAAAAATTCCAACCTAAGCTTATTGCAAATTCCTGGAAATATTACTTATGTTAATGTGACATATGCTGTTCATTAGAACCTGTACCATCGCCTGGCGGGATACACTTGAATCCAGCAGTTGTAATGCACACACACACACACACACACACACACACACCTCTGCTTCACCCAACTGCCTTTCCTACCTTCCATTCATAAAGGCTCTGATCCCAAGTAGGAACGACCTGTCATTACGTTTAAACACATGAAGAATCTCGAGAGAAGCGTTGAATATTCTTTCAAACTTCTCTGAGTTCCAACCACATGGTCATAATTAGAAAATAAAATACTGCCTTGGCTCTTTGGCAATTAACATAGTGGGTTGTAAAACTAGGTTTTCTTTCTTTCTTCTTTTCTCTCTGCTTCAAATTGGCAAACAAGGTAATTGCCTGAATTGCTAGGAGATTAGAAACACATTTTTGACGGTTTTAAAGCAATCCCAAATTATCTCCCGAAGTGTTTCAGAAGGCGACTGCAAAGACAAGCACGCCTTTTGCTAGCCTCTGAGCACAAACTGCTGGCTGGTGAGGCACCTTCTGAAGTGCGCAGGCGGCCGCGGGCCGGGGGTGCGAGAGCGGGAGCTCGGCAGAGCTCAGCCCGCGCGGGCTGCGCGTCCGGCACCTGGCTTACCTTCATTGGAAGGCTGGACGAGCGTTTCCCCCGAGCAGCGCAGAGCGGAGCAGCTGAGGAGGAGGAGGATGGAGAGGTGACAATCCATGATGCTGGTGCAGAGGGCAGTAAGAGGAGCATATCTCCGTGAAGCATGCCACTGAGGCGAGGGGGAGCGCAATGAATGCTCCAGAAGTTACCATGCCTCGCTCCCAGCCTGATGTCAAGTTTGACACTGGAGATAAGGAGGGGTCTGGCTGCCTTTCCGCGAACCTCGCTCGCGGACGCCTCTGGGTCCTAACGCCGTCGCTAGCAGGAAGAAGAGCAAGAAGACACGCTCGCGCGCGGGAGCCCAGCTCGGCTGGGAAGGGGGTGGAGGTAGGAATGGGGAGTGGGGGCGTCGCCAACCACGCAGGACACCCAAAAGTGGTTGTGATGGGGGTGGAGAGGGAGGGGAGGTGTGTGTGTGTGTGTGTGTGTGTGAGTGTGTGTGTGTGTGTGTGTGAAGCAAACCCCCCCTTTCTTTCAAAGCAAAGCAGCTCTTTACTGTTTTCCAGAAAAGATCTGAAGCTTAATTTCACCAAGAAACCAGTAACTCAGAGAGGGGCAACCTAGGGCAGTGTGAGTGGAAAGGAAACTGAAATGCCAGAGAAATGCTTGGATGTGTGTGTGTGTGTGTGTGTGTGTGTGTGTGTGTGTGTTTTAAAGAGGAAGATAGAGTGATTCCTTTTCTGTGTTCACTGTGATCATAACTTCGTGGGTTAGACAGACGTCAGTCGATGCACAGCAGATCGGAAAAGCTCTTCAGTTCTGTGCCACCTGGTATCTGGGTCCTTACAGAGACTTGGCCCAAGGATAGCAGCGCACAGATGGTGCACTTTGGTTTTCCAAAAGGGAAGTAACCTTCTTCATCCCAAAGAAAGCGAACAGCCCTCGCAGTGGCTGAGGGTCAGCTATCCTTCCCCAGGCGTGCTATAATATGAATAGAAATCAAACCTGAAAGTTCCTCACAAAGCACACTCCCTCCCTCAAGATTCAGCCTTAAGAAGTCGGGATCTTGGAGATAAACCACACTCTTATCTCTGCTCAGCTTTTGGACCACCAACATTCTGATAATATCTGAATATTGTTTTTCTGTATCACTCCAAATCCACTGGCAAAAAAAAAAATACTGTCCTTGTGCTTGCTCACGTACTAGGGTTATAAGAGATCTCTTATTTTCAGTCATCTGGTTGAAAAATGTAATTCCAATCTATTAAAGCTAAACAGTGACTCCTATTTTAGGAACATGTTTCTCTTACCTTGCAAAATATATCCCCCTCTCTCCTCCCCTCAAAAAAAAAATGATTGCTTTCATATCCTTCCACGCATTATCTATATCTGCATGACCTCAAAGTGCAAACAAGATTATTTTATCTCTTGCACAGGGACGAATATATTGACAAGTTTAAGATCAATGATCAATTTTAGAGCTCTGGGAAGCCCCAGATCCTAAGATATTCATTTCACAAACACAGCTTTTAATGACAGAACAATACTTTCCCTCAAATTTAAATGAATGCCTTTGGATCCAGTTTGTTGGCTGGGATTAGGGACTGTGGGATGGGTGAGCAAAGCCAGGAAGAAGAGACTGATCCTGCTGGTCTTTCTCTCTGAGACTTATTTGCATCTCTAACTCTTCCCACATTATGTCACCAGAAGCTGGAAAACCATCAAGTGCCAATTCCGTGAGAACTGAAAACAATGAGAGAAGTATAGGCAAGGGTGATTCTGTGGCAATGTTTAAAGTTCAAATACAACAGCTATATAGTTCTGTCGTAAAACAGATCAATTATTTTTTTCCTGATATTTGAAAGAAACTAAAATATTATTTGAATTGATATTTTAAAAAAAAAGCATTTAGAAAGCATATAGCTGTGTGCTGCCAGGAATATTGACTGCTTGCTAACTGCTTCCCTTTTCACACATAGCAGCTACTTGTTCCTATGAGAAGAGATTCTCCTGTTTGCAGGAAGATACAAGAGAATAAAAGTGAATGGAAAGTGCCTGAGATGATGGCCTATGCCTGTAAGCTTACTTACTTGGCAGTCTGGGATCTGAGGATTATGGTTCCAAGCCAGCCTGGACAGAAAAGATCAGGAGACTTTCAACTCTCATTAAGCAGCAAAAGCTGGAAGTATAGCTGGACCTAAGAGGTATTATTAGAAAAGCAGCTTTGAGAAAAAAAATAAAAGTAAAGGGACAATGCTAGTACTCAGGCCCCAAAAAGAAGGGAGGGAGAGAGGAAGGAAGGAAGGAAGAACAGGAGAAAGAGCAAGGACCTGTTCTTCAAAGGAGAGTTTGCAAACTGCATGCATTTCTAGACATTATTGTAGACTAAGAAGAAACATCCAAACCATATCTTATGTTTGAGGAACAAACACTTTGCTGATAGCTTTGAACAGTAAGCCACCTGTGAATGAAGTACCTGAAACTCCCTCTTGCTAACAGAGAGGTACAGAATCTTAATTCCTGAGACTGGGACTCAGTTTGTACAGATGAACCCGCTCTGCAGAAGGTTCTTCTCACCTTTTGGCTTTCGGATCACGATTGAAGAGAAAAGTCAGAGGTAGCACAATCAGCTTGGAAGATAATTTTTAAGTCATATTAAAATGTAATAAGGAACCTAATTTTGATTGCTCGAAGGAAGGAAGATTAAAGAAGAAATGAGAAGATGTTCTTTGGTTGTACAAATATTATTACCCCTAAAAAGTGGAGTCAGTACCTATTGTGAAGGATGAGTTGGAATGATGATAATCTGGAATGCAGTGTTTTTAGATAAAAGTTTTGGAAAAAGAGGGAGTCTAAAAAACAAACCTTTAGGAGAAAAGGGAATACACCTTTAGTTTTAGACGTTGAGGTGGTGTTGGGGTAAGAAAGCAGGGACACAAGGACAAGAGAACACAAAATTCTGACTGGCTCTATCAGGAGCTTGGGCTGTAGGGTGATTTCGGTAGAACAGATATGTAAACTACTTTGTTTTCATTTTAGGAAGATCCTGTGGACATATTTAAGCTAAAAAGAGAGAATGGGGTCCATAGAACAAGAAAAACATATCAATTGGAAGTCTTGATACCAATTAGCCCCCCTTTCACTAGGATGACAAACAAATAACATGCAGGGGTTACTAGTAAGGCTCTTGAATCCAACAAGTTGTAATGGCTTCCCTGGCTTAGTCACACATTTTTAAAAATTTCATTTCATTTATTTTGCAGTTCTGGGTCTTGGATTCTGGTCATGGGCTCTGTCCCTGAGCTCTTTTACTCAAGGCTAGCACTTCACCACTTGAGCCACAGCTCCACTTCCAGCTTTGTTTGGTGGTTAATTGAAGATAGGCCTCTCACTGATTATCCTGCCTGCGATGGCTATGAATGGATGTAAGCACTTAACATCAGTCATTCTTAGTTCTAAGTTCAGAAAATCAGAGATCCTATCCCTTGGGGAAGATATGAGACTTCTATGAGGTTTAGAATAGAATGTGACACATTAAGAGCAGTTAGTATTTCAATCATGTATACATTGTGCTTTAATCAGATTGACCGAATGAACTGTTAGGACACAAAGACCTTGCCTGGAGTTAGTTAAGAAAGATAGAAGCAGGTAGATTCATGTGAGAAAACTGATGGCAGGAAGATCAGTTGCCCAAGAATAAAATGAGCATGCACCAATACTTAAAATCTAGAAAGAAATAGAGAAGAAACAAGAACTATGAAAGTGTTTATTAGAAATCAGCTTTATTATTATTGCAAGCCATATGATGTAAACGGTGCATGCACAAATATTCACTAAGATACTGATTGAAAGTAATGACAGAGTTTGGTAACTTTCACGGCATGTCCTTCCCTCACTCTTTGAGCCTTTCCTTTCCTCTTCCCACTATTACTATTGCTAAATTCTACTATAGCCATTCATTGCCTTCTGTTCATTGGCCTGGTCCTTCTTCATCACCGTTCAGAGTGGTGCTGAGACCATAGAAATTCTTCCTGCTTGGTATGTCTAGGTATAGGGAGTCACATTTGAGACATTCATTACTGTGTGCAATGTATTCCCAGGCCATATCTGCTTTTTATACAAGTTGGAGCTCTTCAAATGTCTCCCATAGGTACTTTACCTTTCTTTGATTCTTCTTAATGTCTTGAAAACTCTTTTGTTTGTTTATTTAGACAGAGTTTTGCTATGTATTCTAGGCTGGCCTTTAACTCATATTATTTCTACTTTATAATTGGCAGATAATGTGTATGCTTACTTATAGACTGAACTATGGGGTACAAGGTCATATTACATTTATAATGTATAATGATCAAATTGTTTCCCATTTTTCTCTCTGCAAAGCTTCTTATTGCTGAGTGTTGGGAAGCTTCTTTTGGAAATGTTCAGTTAGTTGTCATGTATTATGTTTGCCCTGGAGTGATGTAGGACATCATCGACCCGCTAGCTGTGTTTCCATACCCACTGTTCTTCCGCTCAGGATTCCCACTATCTTCTTCCTACCCAGCCTCCAGTGGCTGCTATAGTACCATCTACTTGCATGGGATCGGCATTTTTACCTCCCACAAATGAAGGAGAATATGAGGGACTTATCTTCCGGGGTCTAGCATATGTCACTCAGCATAATGCCTTCCAGTTTGGTCCATGTTTCCACAAATGAAAAAGCATATATATATATATGTCACATTTTGAAGTCTGTTCATTTATTATACATGTCTCAGTCAGCTCAATATCTTAATTATTGTGACTATTTCTACAATTTGCCTGGGCATGGTACATTAATACATTCCAATATAAATTATTTGTAAAATTTAATTTGATATATAATTATCATAAATTAATTTGTATATGCACATTATATGGGCATATATATACAGCATTCATACACATGTACACATATGCATATACATATACATAGCTATTCATATTCATATATATATGGAATATATATGCATGCACCCATATATATCCCATGATTACTGGATTATTGAATGATTATTAGATTATGTTCGTGGTAAAAGTGTTTATTCAGACTACAAACTGGATATAAAAAATGTACTCGTGGAAAAGTGAGAAATTTGAAGCAATAAATTCACTGCCCTTGCGAAGGTAAGCTTAATAAAGACAAGCTTAGAAAAGGGGAAGAACAAGTCCTGATAATAGTATAATAAAATAGACAGGCTTTCACTACAGTTCATTGACCAAAATAAAAAAAATGATAGCTCACATTTGGAATATGGAAGTATACAAAAATAACAAGTTCTCTTCAGGACACATTGGG